TCTTGAACTTTTTAAATTTTCCTTAGTCTTAGTTCACTTTCTTTAATTTACTTGAAATTCACTTTGACTCATCTGGAGACATGCAGCTTTAACATCTTAATTGAGAGCATAAAATCAACCAGAACTGTACTGATTGCTCAGTTGTAAAACATTGACAGTGTCGCATTTGTAATCATTGAAGGTTTTACTTAATCAATAGCAATATTAAAACAATTAAGACAGTCTCAAATATCATAAAGTTGTTCTAAACTAAATGATCTTTTTGTTTGAACAAAAAGTGTTTGTGTTGAAGACTTCTTGAAAGCTGCTGCAAAAGAAATACCTTTTCTTGTGGGTGTTTTATTCTCTCCGAAAGATTTGGTAGACCTTATTTGGTGTGTACATGTATCTGCACCAAACCGAGATGATAAAAAGTCCAATATGATGTATGGACGTTACCAGGTTATTGTCATCATTATTCACTTTGTTTTATATAATGTTTGTATGATTATTTAATGATTAATTTGGTTCGCTCATCAAAAGAGTCACTTAAAATGAATTATTGCATCAGTCAAACATATGAACTAGATGACAAGAACATTGTTCCAATGACGAAAAATTATATAATTTCTGCATGAAGTGTGACGGATAGTCAATGGCAGATTGTAGTTTATATTTTATTTTAAACTCGAGAGTTTTATGTAGTGATTTGCATGAAATATCAAATACTATATGTATTATATACTTTCGAAAGCAAGATATTAATCATTTTTAATCGTTTGTAAGATTAACAAGGAAGAACTGAATATTAGAAGGATTTTCATTGGTCAATTAAAAATTTCAAACTGAAATCCGAGAATTTCATTAGCTATCCTAAAATATTAGAATAATAATCTAAAGTTTTTTTTCTGAAACGTTTACACTTCCAAATTATAAAACAATCTAAAGTAAGCACATTTTCTAGTTAAATTTCTCGGATATTTGGATATTTATGATCTGTGAATTTCTTCCCAATAAATATTTTACACTGCTTTCATAAATTCCATTAGTACTTTTGTGAATATCTGATTCAAAAATGACGAGACGACCGATAACGTCCTCGATCCCGCGAAAGTATGTGCAAAACGAAAGACATCATGCAAGTTAAAGCAGTTTTACCCTGTTCAAGTATCTTTCTATGTTCATGTCGGCTTATGGGATGCAAAACTAAAGAGAAAACTGTTATTAATCTGCTGATTATCATGTTTTTACAAACCAAACCGAAATTATTTATAATGTATTTGCTTGAAAGATTTAACTAAAATCGTATTCTTTAAATGATTCTGATTGACGTACATTTTTCAACCATGATACACACTGTTTGTCTCTGCGTTCAATTGATATTTCCTATTGCACAAAGTGGACATCGACGTTATGTGGTAAAACTACTTTCAAAATATGTTGTTCCCGGGATGATTATAGGTCATCGGCAATATGTTCCGAATGAAATTCTGAGTCATAAGGTACTGCAATTGTTCTGTTAAGTTTTCAATAAAACAGATACGGTTATGCCATTATAAATGCTGATACTCTGCTAATAAAACCGGTTAAACTATTAAATCATAACTGATACTGTATTGACATTATGCTCTTATGTATTCTTCGCTATGTTGAACTAAAAGATTAATTTCTACTTTTTAAATGCCAAAATACCAATGATTAATAATGAATAAAATGTCAAGGAGAAAACAAATAAAAATCTGCCTAAAATTTATAAATATATAAAGACTTCCCACTCTATATTGCTTGAAAGTTATTATTATGTAGTATATAGTATATTAGTAGAAAGTATATTACGTAGAATATTTATCTAAGTGTCCGTGTGTCACGTGATGTAATAGATCGTTAACCATTTCTTTGCTGAGCACATAATCTTGATTTCTTTATTAAATAGTTATGTTTCCTCTAACTGATTTATAACGTTTATAACATATTTTTTTCGAAAGAAATCTACGTCAGTTAAGGTATATCAAAAATGGTTTGTTCTATTTGAAATAAGAGGAAGTACGTATGTTTATACGTTTAATAAAATACTTCGTGATAATCGTCTGCTGTCTTGAGTTAAGTACTACGTAAATACGCCTCTGCAAATAGCTGTCCTCAGCTGGCAATAAAAGTCGGCATTCATATACAAATTCATGATGAATATAAAACGAATAAATATTATAAAATATATCTTATTTGTTCAGAATCATTCTTTTCTCAAAAGCCTTTTAAATTTTGGTGTCCGGTTATAGTATCAAAAAGTTAATCATTGGTCAATTACCTGAACAATGTTTGCTTTTGAGAAATAAGTGCAATTGCAGTGATTTTGTATTAAGTAAATAAGTTAAAATACTACACTATTTATATTTCGCTATGTTTATGCCCAATAGGTTTGCATTAAGCACTTCATTTTTCTTGTGATAAACCTCTTACATGCTTAGCCTCTAAAAATCAATATTCATACCTTTTAAAACTCGCATTTGTTCTTTCAAAAGAATAAATAAAATAGATTTGTTTCTAAGACGTAAAGTTCTTTTAAAGAAATCGCTGCATTACTAAATACCTTTTGTTGTACTTAAAACTATGTTTTAAGGTGTTGGTTTTTTCTTTGTTCAACTTGCGAAACATTTTAAATTGATTTTTATGTAACTTATGCCTTTTACCTCTGACTTAGTATATGCAGTCGTTTTGTCGGGATAAAAGTGACGAAACAGCGTGTTAGGCTTATTAAAATAACTATTTGGGCACTAATTGTAGTTTTAAGTATAATTAACACACAATGCATAAGAGTAAGACAAAGGTGTATCATTTTATTACATGGTATTTAAGCAGTCTCTGAATAGAATTTCGTAAAATACTCACTACCTTGTATGACGAAGATTCTAATTGATCTTTACAACAACAAAAAGACATCATTTTATACTTTTACAATGATAAAATGATATATCAAGAAATGAAATGCAGATAATCACTTTTCAGGAAAATCTAATTTATGTTAGCATTCAAAGTTACTGTAAGAAATTAAAATATATCATTTTGTTATGGGCATGAGTATTTCTATGTGAACATTAGTAGGTTTACAAATATCAAATATGTTATCAGAATTATGATAGTCTGCCCTAGCAATTTACTTCATCTTTCTTTCATCCAGGCATAGACTAATTTATCAACATGTTTCAAATTGTTTATGTTAAAACAATAAAAGTGAAATCGTGGCCAAGTGTGGTTAAAACATCGGACTAGTTATCTAAGGATTGTTGGCCGCGTGGGTTTAAACCTCGCAAGGAACAAGCGATGTTCCTGTGAACTCAATATTTATAATTGGTTGGTTTAAGGAACGTATTCAAAACTGTTTCAATAAGCGTATAGCTTCGAACACTTTCGAACTTAAATAAATGTGTATAAACTAAAAGTACGATTGATTATTATGAACTGACGACGTCCGAATATGACTTTATGAGACCATAACGAATGGTATACGTTATAGCATGCATAGTTATGTTGGTAGTATTTAGTATTTTCAATCAAACATAACCTTGCCTTATGCCATACATAATTATGTTGATGGTGTTTAGCATTTTGAATCAAATATAACAATGCATTATACAATACATAGTTGTGTCTGTTCATATACAGTCATATTAAACACAAACCACGAAATGATTATGTATGAATGGTGTTGGTAGGTGGTATTTACGCAATATTTCTTCATAAGTGAAGAAATCAAAGTAAAAATACTCACCAATGAATAATTGTTCCCAGCTGGTATCAACAACCGATTAGTGGCAGTTACTAGAAAAAGAAATTTAATGTAGAAACAAATAAGAACTGAAAACTAATCTAAAAAGTCAAAATGATGTAGTATTGAATCAAAAAGACATACCAGATAACTTTTTGTCAAACTTTTTTAAATAAATTGAAAGATAAATTTCACCACGTTGCTCATTACGTACCACACTACTGACAACATGTTTTGTCCGCGCTTTTATTCTACAGCATCTTGTTTACAATGAGCCAGACGACCTTCCATTTTGTTAATTTATTTATGACATTTTATGTCGTCGAGTTTAAGGTGGTTCTTTAGAATTACGTCAGACTCTCAGGTGAGTTGGTGCACCCATAAGTTATGTATATGCCAATCTATACAAATTAAACCGCTATAAACCTGAAAAATTGTCGTCTGCAAGATCTCAAAATAAGGTTGTATTTTTTTGTAAATCATTTAGACAACGCACCTGACAACATTAATAAATCACCAGGCGAAGCTAGCTTGATAAATAACACTCCCAAATACGATAATATTAATAGATTAATTGCCACATTAGCTATAATGTTCTGCGTAAATACACGCCAACAATTTCGTTGCAACATGTGCTCTTTTAATATGGTTACGAAATCCAAAAACACCCCAGGTACACAAAGACATTGGTGGTTTATCGGTATGTTTGTAGCCAAATGATGGAGTTAACCGTTTACAATATATAAATGTAGATTGCATAAGGTATATTAATTAAGTTTAATAGTTCTTAATAACAAACAATCCAACTAGATTTAACATGTTTGTTTTGGAAAATAAATGTGTCTAGACATTCCCCACACACAACCACACATACATATATACAAGCAAAACAGTAATTACAAAAAAGTGAACAATCAATAATTCCTTTTAAACAACAACAATAAGCAAACTTCACTTTTGTTTTAGTATTTTAAAGTTTCACATTAAATTACAAAAATGTATAATGTGTTCATGTTGTTATGCAACAGAAAGATATATAAAGGTATACCTAGTGGGCGAATTTGTAACAAATAACATGTACACGGAACTCATTTTCGATGAAACAAATATTATAATTTTGTAAACAGTATTGGCAAAGTAACTTTTGTGTCGGTCTACTTATATATCACTTACTTTCTATATGTTCTTTATGATCTGAACCTTTAATGCATACCAATATGAATAAACAAAGCAAACTTTTCAAAAGTCTGCATAATGTAAGTTTGTTCCTTTGTTCCTCGCACTTATATCAGGTGACACAAGTTACAAATTCTAGTTCAATGTCAATCATACCAATCGAAGAATCCAATATTCTGCAGTTCTGATCTGATCTCTACTAATTCTTGATCAGTTGGGCATCTCATTGGCGATCTTGCTGGACCAAGATCAACATCGATCAAAGTCATTAGGGCCTTGAATGCTGCCACGCTGCCACCAAGGAGATCCCCTATATTAGAAGTGTTTATATGATAAATCAGTCAATAAAAATGTTTAAACATATCTATATATCGTTTTTAATATAATTCATAACCATATTTTTAAAATTGTGTGTTCTTTTGGCATGCGAGCTTTGTGAAAACCTAAAGCTAACCAAACAAACCGGAACACATGGACAACATCTATTTGGCGGAAGTCAATTTATGTCATTAAAGATAACGAAAACTCTTTACTGTTACCAAAAAGACTTCATTGCACATAATTTGTCTTGAGATTAATATGAAAACCGTTGAGTAAATGAATGCAAATCGACCTTTGATCAAATGTCTATGTTATATCTCATGAGCAAATGTATTACCGTATTTATACACCACTTTACATGTTTGCTGAGTGCGATACTGATAAAGGCGTGCTTCAATACTGTCACCTTTGTCTTTGCTGTCTAATACCTTTCTGCTGACATAGGCCATAAAGTTAAACGACGTGCCAACGCCACCATCAGCTCCAAGGATCTTTCCCGCCATAATTATCTTCAAAAGAAGTAGGGTAGGTTACATTTTATTGTTAAATATACATTAATGTCTTTTTTGCTTTTTAGCAAGTAATATTGCTTCTATGGGTTTTATTCCCAAAACTGACGCTGTTTCTGTTGATAAAAATGTTTTGGTGTTAAGATGTTAATATGGAAATAAAAACTTTCTTTTAAATAAAATGTTCTTTTAATGCTCTTATAAATTGTCGAAAGGAAAAATAAAAAAAACTTAGAATTTACATCGACTGGACTGGATCGAACTTGTTTATAAACCAAAATGACATTGACTTTTCTGTTCACAGACGGCAATGATATGGACTAAGCAAGTTTATTGGAATTAGTTTAACTTTTTGCACAAAAAGTCAATAATTGTGACCGAGCTTGTCCATTGATGTCAATAATTTTAAACCGAGTCTGTTTATAGATGTCAGTGATATTCATAGAACATGTTGACAATGGCACTCTTTCTAAATAAACATTTCTTATATTTGACGTCAGTGATATTAACCTTTTCAATCGGCGTCAATGATCTTGACGGAGTCTTTTTATCGACATCCTTGATTTTGGCAGAGTCTGTTTATAGACATCCGTGATTTTGGCAGAGACTGTTTATAGACATTCGTGATTTTGGCAGAGTCTGTTTCTATAGTATTACATCCGTGGTTTTGGTCGAGTCTGTTTATAGACATCCGTAATTTTGGCCGAGTCTGTTTATAGACATCCGTGATTTTGGCCGAGTCTGTTTATATAGTATTTCATCCGTGGCTTTGGTCGAGTCTGTTTATAGACATCCGTGATTTTGATCGAGTCTATTTATCGACATCCTTGATTTTGGCAGAGTCTGTTTATAGACATCCGTGATTTTGGCAAAGTCTGTTTATAGACATCCGTGATTTTTGCAGAGTCTGTTTATAGACAACCGCAATTTTGGCAGAGTCTGTTTATAGACATCTGTATTTTTGGCAGAGTTTGTTTATATACATCAATGATCTTGGCAGAGTCTGTTTATAGACATCCTTGATTTTGGCAGAGTCTGTTTATAGACATCCTTGATTTTGGCAGAGTCTGTTTATAGATATCCTTGATTTTGGCAGGCAGAGTCTGTTTATAGACATCCTTGATTTTGGCAGAGTCTGTTTATAGACATCCTTGATTTTGGCAGAGTCTGTTTATCGACATCCTTGATTTTGGCAGAGTCTGTTTAAACACATCAATGATTTTGGCAGAGTCTATTTATCGACATCCTTGATTTTGGCAGAGTCTGTTTATAGACATCCTTGATTATGGCAGAGTCTGTTTATAAACATCCTTGATTTTGGCAGAGTCTGTTTATCGACATCCTTGATTTTGGCAGAGTCTGTTTATAGACATCAATGATTTTGGCAGAGTCTGTTTATCGACATCCTTGATTTTGGCATAGTCTGTTTATAGACATCCTTGATTTTGGCAGAGTCTGTTTATAGACATCCTTGATTTTGGCAGAGTCTGTTTATAGACATCCTTGTTTTTGGCAGAGTCTGTTTATCGACATCCGTAATTTTGGCAGAGTCTGTTTATAGACATCCGTGATTGTGGCAGAGTCTGTTTATAGACATCCGTGATTTTTGCAGAGTCTGTTTATAGACATCCGTGATTTTGGCAGAGTCTGTTAATAGACATCCGTGATTTTGGCAGAGTCTGTTTATAGACATCCACGATTTTGGCAGAGTCTGTTTATATACATCCGTGATTTTGGCAGAGTCTGTTTATAGACATTCGTGATTTTGGCAGAGTCTGTTTAAAAACATTCGTGATTTTGGCAGAGTCTGTTTATAGACATTCGCGATCTTGGCAGAGTCTGTTTATAGACATCCGTGATCTTTGCAGAGTCTGTTTATAGACATCCGTTATTTTGGCAGAGTCTTTTTATAGACATCCGTGATTTTGGCCGAGTCTGTTTATAGACATCCGTGATTTTGGCAGAGTCTGTTTATATACATCTGTGGTTTTGATTAAGTCTGTTTATAAACATCCGTTATTTTGGTTGAGTATGTTTATAGACATCCGTGATTTTGCCGAGTCTTTTTATAGACATCCGTGGTTTTGGCCGAGTCTGTTTATAGACATCCGTGATTTTGGTGATGTTGTTCATTATATTACAGAAGTGATTTTCATAGTTATCAGTGATTTTGCACGAATTGTTCATAGACATCAGTGTTTTTGGCCCTGTCTGATCAAAGACATCAACTTTCTGTAAATTATGTTATCTAAACATTTGTTTAAGTCATTTGTCTGGGGTTTTGTATGACTTTTGTTTTCACGTAATTTCATTTATTTGAGTGAGCGAACCAATCAATGTACAAGCAAACAACATCTGTATTTAAACTTGTTCATCATAAATAAGAAATACCTGGTCATATCCAAACATCATATTGAACTTTCCATCATCTCTATTTGGTGCTGGCACATGTACGCATCCAATAAAGTCTACCAAATCGGTTGAAGAAAATTTGACACCAACAAGAGAAGGTATTTCTTTAGCAGCAACTTTCAAGAAGTCTTCAATGCAAACTTTTGAACGGAAAAACATAAAACAATTAAAAATACGACTTTCATTCAGTAAATAATTATAGAAATGTTTCAGCTGCTTTTTTAGCTCACCTGTCACAAAGTGACAGGGTGAGCTTTTGTGATCGCTTTTCGTCCGGCGTCCGTCCGTCGTCCGTAAACTTTTACTTTAAATGACATCTCCTCATAAACCACTAAGCCAATTTCATCCAAACTTCACAGGAATGTTCCTTTGGTAATCACCTTTGAAAATTGTTCAAATAATTTAATTCCATGCAGAACTCTGGTTGCCATGGCAACCAAAAGAAAAAACTTAAAATATCTTCTTCCAAAAAAAACCCAAAGAGCTAGAGCTTAGATTTTTGGCATGAAACATCTTTTGGTGAGTGTCTTTAAAGTTTGTTCAAATAAAAGCCCTGTGGTCAAAATTGGCCCCGCCCAAGGGGGTCATTGATTTTCCCTATATGCATATAGTAAAAACTTAAAAAATCTTCTTTTAAAGAACCCAAAGAGCAAGAGCTAAGATATTAAGCATGAAACATCTTCAAATTGGTGTCTACCAAGTTTGTTCAACTAAAAGCCCTGGGGTCAAAATTGGCCCCGCCCCAGGGGGTCATTGATTTCCCTATATGCATATAGTAAAGACTTAAAAATCTTCTTTTAAAGAACCAAAAGAGCTAGAGCTAAGACATTTAGCATGAAACATCTTCTAATGGATGTCTACCAAGTTTGTTCAAATAAAAGCCCTGGGGTCAAAATTGGCCCCGCCCCAGGGGGTCATTGATTTTCCCTATATACATATAGTAAAAACTTAAACAAATCTTCTTTTAAAGAACCAAAAGAGCTAGAGCTAAGATATTTACCATGAAATATCTTCTAATGGATGTCTACCAAGATTGTTCAAATAAAAGCCCTGGGGTCAAAGTTGGCCCCACCCCAGGGGGTCATTGATTTTCCATGTATACATATAGTAAAAACTTAAAAAATCTACTTTTAAAGAACCAAAAGAGCTAGAGCTAAGATATTTAGCATGAAACATCTTCTAATGGGTGTCTACCAAGTTTGTTCAAATAAAAGCCCTGGGGTCAAAACTTGCCCAGCCCAGGGGGTCATTGATTTTCCAAATTTCCTTATATGTGCATAGGAAAAAACTTAAAAAATCTTCTTTGGACAAACCAAATAGCTAGAGTTTGGATATTAAGCATGAAACATCTTCTAGTGATTGTCTACAAAGTTTGTTCAAATAAAAGCCCTGGGGTCAAAATTTGCCCAACCCCGGAGGTCATCCATTTTCCCTATATGTGTAAAACTATAGCAAAAATTGAAAAATCTTCTTTGAAAAAACTCAAATAGCAAGAGTTTAGATATTAAGCACGAAGCATTTTCTAGTAAGTGTCTTAAAAGTTTGTTCAAATAAAAGCCCTGGAGTCAAAATTGGCCCCGCCCTGGGGGACATTGATTTTCCTTATACAAGTACATGTATAGCAAAAACTTAAAAATCTTCTTTTAAAAAACCCGAATAGCTAGAGTGTAGATATTAAGCATGAAACATTTTCTAGTAAGTGTCTACCAAGTTTGTTCAACTGAAAGCCCTGGGGGTCAAAATTGGCCCCGCCCCAGGGGGTCATTGATTTTCCCTATATGCATATAGTAAAAACTTAAAAAATCTTCTTTTAAAGAACCAAAAGAGCTAGAGCTAAGATATTTACCATGAAACATCTTCTAATGGATGTCTACCAAAATGTTCAAATAAAAGCCCTGGGGTCAAAATTTGCCCTGCCCCAGGGTGTCATTGATTTTCTCTATATACATATAGTAAAAACTTAAACAAATCTTCTTTTAAAGAACCAAAAGAACTAGAGCTAAGATATTTAGCATGAAACATCTTCTAATGGATGTCTACCAAGATTGTTCAAATAAAAGCCCTGGGGTTAAAGTTGGCCCCACCCCAGGGGGTCATTGATTTTCCATGTATACATATAGTAAAAACTTACAAAATCTTCTTTTAAAGAATCCAAGGAGCTAGAGCTAAGATATTAAGCATGAAATATCTTCTAATGGGTGTCTACAAAGTTTGTTCAAATAAAAGCCCAGGGGTCAAAATTTGCCCGGCACTGGGCTTATTGATTTTCCAAATTTCCTTATATGTGTATAGGAAAAGCTTAAAAAATCTTCTTTGGAAAAAAACAAATAGCTAGAGTTTAGATATTAAGCATGAAACATCTTCTAGTGATTGTCTACAAAGTTTGTTCAAATAAAAGCCCTGGGGTCAAAATTTGCCCAACCCCGGAGGTCATTTATTTTCCCTATATGTGTAAAACTATAGCAAAAATTGAAAAATCTTCTTTGAAAAAACTTTAGCAAAAGTTTAGATATAAAGCACGAAGCATCTTCTGGTGAGTGTCTTTAAAGTTTGTTCAAATAAAAGCCCTGGAGTCAAAATTGGCCCCGCCCCGGGGGGACATTGATTTTCCTTATACAAGTATAGCAAAAACTTAAAAATCTGTTTTTTTTAAAAACCCGAATAGCTAGAGTTTAGATATTTAGCATGAAACATTTTCTAGTAAGTGTCTACAAAGATTGTTCAAATAAAAGCCCTGGGGTCAAAACTGGCTCTGCCCCAGGTGTGTCATTATTTTTAACAATATGTGTAAAGAAAAAACTTTAAAAAATCTTCTTTTAAAAATCCCAACGAGCCCAGACCTTAGATGTTTAGCATGAAACATCTTCTAATGGTTGTCTACAAAGTTTGTTCAAATAAAAGCCCCGGACTTTAAACTGGCCCTGCTCCGAGGGCACATGTACAGATGAGCGACTTCAGGGCCATCATGGTCCTCTTGTTATCGTACTGTTACTACATGTCACCTGTTAGAATATGAGAACAAAGGTCAACAAGGGAAGGCGGTGTTACTTGAAAGGCGGCATTACTTGAACGCAGCACCCACAAACCCAGGCAACACCGAACGACAGACACGGATCGCAGCAATATTGGCTTGAACAAGAGGAATTTAGTATATTTGTGTCATAAAGAGATATTCATGAATAGAATATAAAACATGCTCAGTATTAAGATAAATGAATTTAACTTATAATTTCGTTATTATCAAATTATACTACAGTACATGGCTGGTGGCTTACAATTTCCAGTACCGTCTATGAACAGGTTCAATCAAACCGATCTTGCTACATTTTTGCATACTCTAGGAATTCCATTTATATTAGTTCTTGAACATAAATTATCATGGGCATACATTTCGGGTTATTCAAATGTGGTAGTTTCAATGCAGAGAAAAGTTTTACTGTTAAGCAGATCTAATTTTGATGTGCATAAGAGAACACGATTTTTTTCAGACACGAAAATGAAAAATTAGAAATAAAATATAAGCTTTCTTACGTTCCACACCAGTTGCACCAGGCAAATGGTAAAAATAGAATGGAAGGTTCGGTGCAGCGCTCGCAACTTCCTTACAATATTTGACAAGGTAGTCTGAAACAAACACATGCAATGAAAATTATTTTGAATTATTTTTCAATTGTTTGTATGTTTATTTTCTTTATTCAAATAGTTTCAAACAAGACACATGATTTATTTTATTTAAAACTGGGTTTCAGAACCTGAAAAAATAGAATAATCCTGAACGAATTGTATACGTATTAATGTTAAGTTATATCATAACATACCCTCGGCGTTTCATATGCGTGCAGCAATTCTACAAGAATTATTTTCAAAAGTCTCTGAATAGACCATTAAGACTGGTGATAGCAATTTTATATCTTATTTTAAGTTTTTTACATGTGTTTATCTCATTTCATTTAATTGGAACTACTCATCAAACCGGAGCCAATTTGTTTGTTAAGCTTTGTCTTCAAGATCAACATTTCTTTTAGCAACAAAAAATGTGAGGGGAAATAAATCCTATGTCTAAACATACATCCAAGTAATTTTTTTTTTAAAGTGACATTTTGTTTTTGCATCGTCTTTCAATATTAATTTAATTTTGTTTAAAGACTTACCGACTGTCTTTGGCTTAAAGAAAAGCGGCGGTACCGTGGCTATTGCGTCCGCCCCGACCTTCACAGCATGTTCAGCCTAGTTTTAATACAGAAAAGAATTGTGACTGACATTAAATATTGAATGCTACTTAAATAATGGCTAAGGTATATAGACTACCTTGTCTTACGTATGAAAAACCTAAACGTGCTCCATCTCAAATGTCGTTCACATTTTTGATAATGTTGATATAATTCTTTCTAAATTGATATATAAATTATTGTTTGTACTACATGTAACTGGTATTGTCCATTAGTATGTTTAACTGCGGACTTACATTCAGCTATAGTCTTGAGAATATTAATTTAACTTTTCTTTTTTTACATTAAAAGCTAAATAGTATATATTTCCTCCTAAACTTAAGATAAAATCGAAAAGGTGCATGACTAACATTCACAAATCATAAGCTTGGGACTGTCAAAAATTCACGACATAAAGTTTAAGTCATTTTTAATACCAAAGTGTTAATTACGAAGTTGGAGTTGGATGAACAAAGATAAGTTTTAAAATAAGCTAAAGATATCAATTTACCAATATGGTGTGCCCTGCTATAAATGATAACATGCCTTACTTTCAAAGACAATACGTAAAAGAAGTAAACGATCAGTACTTTACCATAGTTTTTGTGTCATGAAGATTCAAGGCTCCGACCTGGACTACGATAGACTTTATTTTTCCGCTGTGAAGTTATCAAACATAAAATTTTAGTTCTCATTGCGTCACGAAAAGGAAGCTATGCCATGTAATGAAAGACTCATCACATTACTTTATAAAACAGAGGTTTGTGAAATTTGCAATCAAATTTAAATTCAAGCTTTTTTTAAAAGTAATAGTGTAGTGAAATATTAAGAAATATCAAACAAGCATAATTTTTACTTAAAACTTTATTGCGATATTTGATGTGTTTTCTCGGTCAAATTGTAGGTCTGTCATACAAAGTAAACCTTCTACTAGGGTATATATATGTAGCGCTGTGAACGGCGACATTTAATCGTCTTAAACATTCGGTTATAGGTTAAAACGTTATGAATAACGTAAAACGAAATTAATGAACACAGTTACATTGTTTGTCAAAATGTAACATTATTTTGACTTTTACATGTACACTCATCATTTATTCTTGAATGGACATAATGTCACTTAAGCACCATACGCGTTGCTGACGTTATCATTACTATTCCTTTAAAAAGGTTCATCGTTATTGTGTCTGTGAATATCACCGTTAACATTATCAAAGTGTCAAGCTTATTCGCGTTGCTTTTTGTTACTTTTAATATCAACGTTGTACTTATACATAAGATATATCTATATTAAGTACAAAAGGAAAGTCATCATCATCAGAACTATATTCTACCTGCTCCGTTTAAAACGTGCACTTAACATCCATTGAACATGGCAGTGACTTAGTGAATGTAATCGAATCACACTTGCACTTTGTCGGTGACTTTATTTGTCGAAATCACTTCTCCTTCTTAGTATTAAATTTTATCTAAATTTATTTAAACGCTGGTGTTTCGGAAGTTTCTGGACTGCGGCTATACGTAATTTATAAGACATTCATAACATGATACTGCTTTAGTAAAAAAATCTTTAAATCATTTTAAAGATTTTGACAATTATTAAGATGCTGAGTTTCTTCAAGATTTTCACATACCTTTTTTTCCCGACTTCAATCCATTTCTCAACAATCTTTTCTCTCTCGTCCAGAGTTAACGAAAATCCTTCTCCAGTTGTTCCATTTACTGAAGGGATAATGTATTATGGAAATAAATACCTTTTTAATGGCTTTGTTACAGTAATGCTTTGCTAATATGTATTATGTTATAATATGTTTTACTTTGTTCACCCAGACAATGACCGAATTGTAACTTGTCACGTGAAAGGTTTAATAGGTTATCAACTAGAGAGTTATCTAAGATGTTAAATATCAATACTAACTTTTGTCTTGAAATATAAAATGATAATATAACAGTTACATCAACACACCGATGAAAGAAGGAAGATTGTCTGTATATTAAGGAACACTTTTGGTTAATGCTACATTAAGATAGCTTACCATATATTTGGGACATTCCTTTGCTTGTAAGATGGTTACAATACATTTCAAACTTGTCATAATCGACTGCTCTGTAACGATTACGTCAAAATCATGATAGTTATTCTATGTTATAGTATACTACAATATTTCCTACTTTAAGCTAATGTTTGTCTTGTGGCAATGTATTGCTGACATGTTGGTAACTCATTGATAGACTCTTTATATTGCGCTTCGTTGCATCTTTAATTGCAGCCACCGTTTATTCCTATGTGATCATTAGCGGCGACTAAATGGGTTCGAATAACTGTCTATACATACCTTAGATTCAGCTGGTAAGGTGGTTTTGACACCTGGTGTTGCTTTAAGTCTAACAAACCCGAGGTTAGCCAAAATTATATTTCCTGTTTCGGTGTCATTAGACAAATACTGTATGGTGCGCCGTTAACCCAGACATAGTAACAAATTTATATATTGTTGCTTAAATGTCTCTTCATTATTGTCTTCCTTTGTTCTTTTTTAATTTGCTTTGGTTGAATTCATGATACCGACACTTGAGAAGACGACAGTTCGGGGACGGGCGTGCTTTAAAACTTGTTACAATGCACGACCATTATCCCCGTTGAGATATTACACTTCAAAACGAATACTCAAATATTAAAACAGAAAAATGATAAGTAAATAATCTTATAACACATCATCGATAATGATATGTGTTGCCTTAAAACATGTTTTTGAAAGTCGACCAGCTTGACATTCACTTACATAATTTATGTTATTTTAACATGGTTTCCTGTTTGCTTTATCGTTTCATTTCTTATGTTAAAAGGACCTAATGTCCCAAAAAATGCATTCATTTTTGTTTCTCAAAAGCTTTTATTGTCCATATTCATAAACCATTCATCTTTAATGATAACTGTTTCTACCCGTATTTAACGTTATTGTCGACGATTAAGACGTTGTCAAAAATCAACAACCTCTTTCATTTGATTGGCACATACTACTAACGACTTACCCATCTTTGGTCATCGGTGTAAACACCGCAGGTACCAAACCGTCCAGCTTGAATGATCCAATCTTTAAATAAAGCAAACTTACATGATATAGAATAAAAAAGCATACCAAACAAAAATTTAAATGCATAAACACCTATGTCATATCATTCAGTAAATATTATTTTTTATCTATTTTATTGATTTCATATTGATTTATGTTGCATTTTTTCCATTTTCTTAAAAAAGTACTGTATTGTTTCGTTACCATTTGCAACGTGCGTCTTAACAACATGCATGTATGATATCCGGTTAAAATAACCTCTAACAATATATTTACAGTGCACAATTAAATCTTTTATAACTGACTAGAACAATGAAAATTATGAGAAAAAATGAGTTTTTGTTTTTTTGTTTGTTTTTTTTTAAACATTTCTTCAGTATATTCATAAATATTATTTTTTTTGTAACTCCTAAAATACCTACTTAATCAACACAAAAACATCGTAAAATGTCTGTAAAAAATTCTCAATTAAACACTTTTTTTCATATAAATAAATAAGATTACAGAAACTTATAACTCACAGTAGCCATATCTGTCGATTCAATATTATGTTTATCACCTTAATGTTCAATTTACCTGTGACTTTAGCCGTATCAGTAACCTTGTTAATGTTATTGATAAAATTTTACCGTACATTTCGTTTTGTAGTGAGTTTATGTAACTAAAATTGTGTTAACTTACATATGGCATATTAAATGTTGCAATATTCAACAAATTAAAGTTTTGTTCTATATCCAATATTCATATTGTATAACTCTCATTTTATATGCTTTACCATAATATTTATTAATTACTGCAGATATTTGTTCGTCATTAAAACAATATTTGTGTGCGATAATTTTCTTTATATATGTTCTATAGTTGAAAATATATATTGAATAATTAAAATATTTATTGGATACAGAACTGAAAAATATGTATTCGATAATTTAAATCATGGGATAGAACACTTAGCATATTAAGCCCGAATAGAGTATAAAGTAAGCACGAATTTCTGATAACGCGTTGTCATCCTGATTAAACTAGACTATAGTGTAGTGGAAATGATCAGTGTCCTGTAAATAGTGCATATGTTTAATCCTCCTTATAAATGTAAATGCACATGTAAAAATGGAAATTTATTTCAAAATCTTCAGGACATGCAATCGTATAATAATGGTTTTTCATATGCCTTATAATTGAACCGGATATGAACCAATGTGAGGATATCATGTTAGATGCATTTAAATAAAAAAATACACTTAACATAAATCATATCCCCTATAAGAAACGAAAAATAACAACAAGAAAATCTCACAAGAAATAAACTATTATATATCTTATAATAATATAATTTTGCTGCATGATAATGTATCATACTTACGAGAAAATAAAAGAATAATACAACTAAGAGCAAAATTGTCATTATTTTAAAAAAATATAACGCATAACCAATTTTGAACGGGACTGTTGAATTGAAAATATAATCACGATAAGACTATTACGAAGAATAGTAAATTTAATACAATTGTAATAATCACACTGGCCATAGCTTTTGCAGACGCTGTGGGTCCCCTACAGTTTGACAAGGGGACGCCACTTTTGCCTAATTTTGGTTAAAACACGTACACATGTGTGCAAAACTATCACTGCATACGCCCATATTACATGGTTTGTATGATAAATGCACAAAACAACCATGTTTTGGAACGTTTGAAAATTTTAATTGCCTTTATTATAGAAGAATTGACAGAAATTGTTTACAACGCAGACGGCGGCCGATTTGATTGTAACGCAGTGCGTTTGTCCCGATACAATTATTGTCTGTTATGAGGATTTACTTGACATAACTCATTTTTCAATTTCGAACAATCATTTTCTTACTTTTGCATCAGAGAAACGTGTTTCTTTATTTTAGTTTAGATAAAATAATACTACTTTATTTAAACAACGACTTAAATGAACTAAGTTATAGAAAATATACGTTTATCACATTTCCAAAATAAGTAGAGTAAACAGTCAAAACTAAAACGAAATAACTGAAACGGTAACATTTTAGGAATCAGAATTAAAATGTTCTAAATTTTGCAATAGAGTAAACCATTCACTAATCACATGAAAAGTAAAATAAAATCCATTTTATTTTTCTTATTTTTATTAGCCAACTTTCTCTGTATTTGTAACAAGTAAAGAACAAATAATGGATTTTTTTCTTCTTTTGCTTGAATTTTTGACATTCATCGAAGAAAATGGTATGTGATTTCAAAAATGGTATATTTTTAAAGAATTAAAAATACCTCTTATGAAAAAGATATCAGAAATATTTCATGGATTTTTTGTCGTTGAAAATATGTAAAAATATACAGAAAAACATTACAAAAGAAAAAAAAATATTTTTCAGACGTATGTATAAGTTATCTGCCCCTGAGATTACCCCAAATAAGAAAAAAAATGAAATTCATGTGAAGAAAACATGATCGATGACCCCTAAGTGTTTTGGCTCATATGTTAAAATCATGCCACGTTTCAAGAATATATGCCGAACATCTTTAATTTGCCTTTATGTCTTTATAATACTGCACGTTTGTTACGTCGATTTCCATTGGATAATCGTGCAGTATTATAATATTAGTTATAAAGATTTTTGACAGGTTATATGACCGTTTTTGACAGGTTATATGACCGTTTGTTGCCGAACCGCTAAGCTAAGGTTTTGTTGCAACCGTTTATATACGGCCATATAACCCGTAAAAATCTTCATAAATTTATAATAGAGCAAGAATCCTTTTTATAGAAAAAAATTGATTTCTTCATAAATTGACAGCATCTGTGTATATAAAGCAATAAAACTATTATGATTATCCAATGAGAAGCGACGTTACAAACGTGCAGTTTTTTATAGTTTGTTTCTTGCATTTCAGATAGGATTATCTACCGTTTACACCTATGCTAGAAAAATCTGTCTAACACAAGTCGCGCGCTTTAAATAAATAACGTCATTGCTGCGCGCCATTTATGAATGAATTGCCTTTTCATGAAGACGTCATTTTACCATTATGAATGAAGTGGTCATTTCATACGCTACTATACGAAAAAAGTGCGTTATGAGAATATCAGATTTCGTGATTTCTGTTCTGAAATAATTGATATGCAATATGCAAGAAAAAGAATCAAACAACGGCTGTTGGTACAGAGGAAATATCTTGCTCTCGGGTTACTGTTTAGCGGCAACTCGGTAGAACCTCGTTACAGCAGTAAACAGTTAGAGCTAGATATTCCGGTCTTTACCGGCAGCCAGTGTAAGATTCTTATAACATATACTCATATTGTTTTAAACACTAAACGTAAACGTTTCTCTGATGTAAACGTAAGAAAATGGTTGTTTTAAATTGAAAAATGCGTCATGTCAAGTTAAACCCTTACAATAGACATTAATGGTATCGGGACCACCGCACTGCGTTGCAACTGAATCCACCGCCGTCTGCGTTGTAATTAATTTTTGTCAATTCTTTTATAAAAAGGCAATAACAATTTTCAAAATTTCCAAATTATGGTTGTTTTTGTGCAAGTATTATACATATGATGTAATGCTGGTGCATTAAGGGGCTGTTTTTGCACACTTTTGTTCGTGTTTTAACCTAAAATAGGCAAAAGTCGCGACCCCACGTCTAACTGTTCATAAGTGTTAGCAAAATGGCAAAATCGCACCGTGTGCGTGTAATAAGTTAGAAAAGTACATGTTTTGGCTCCAGTCTCACTAGATGTTTCAGGTAAAACACTAAAACATAAAGTTAAATTCAGCCATAAATTTACCGATTGACGTCACCAACGTCATTGAAACTTTCTTCTTTCTGCCTCTCCCTTATTTTTCTTTTTTCAAACATTTTAAACACACTAAAATTACGAAATTTGAATATATGGATAAATGTATAACACACTTCATTTTTATTATATTTCTTACATTTCTGATAATGCTTTTTCCTGATGTTTGACGTTTTCACCAAACTAAATACAACTGCATATCAACGTGTACAAAAATATTTTATCTCGTGCATTTGGAACTATTTGAAACAAAACTGGCCAAATAAGAAAAACATACAGAAAACACTCAAATATAATGGTACCTTACTATGATACGAAAATCTAAATGTATAACATCACTGACACGGACGCTCTGCTTACCGTGCTAGCAATGCACATGAAAATATGAAGTTTAACTTTGTGTTTCATTTATAAGGCTTCGGTCTGCTTCACTTATTTTTCGCATTGTAAATATTTTTTATGTAAACATAGGCTCAACTTATCGTACTTTGGCAAAAATGCCCCCAGGTTAATATGTAAAAACAACGTGTGAAATATATCTCCAATATTTAACGCATATAAAACGTTTTTGAAACGTTCATGTTTTGCAAAATTAAAATAGTTCTGTTATATACATAAGATGAGAAATAGAAAAAACTTAAAACTCAAAATGTGCCAATAATTTATATATGATCTTTTTAAAATTTCATAGCGGACTTAAAAAGATGTAAACTGATAACCCGCTTGGTTTGCGTAACCAATGTTGTATATAAACCAAGGGGCAGGACGTGAAGTGGTTGCACACTTGGTTCAAGCGAGCGAATTGGTTGCAAACTTAACAAAATGGCGAACATGGCGGGGTTTTTATGAAACGGGTGAACGAATTTTTGCCAGGCAAGTGGATTTCTTTGTTATTTGGAAGTTCATTAGTATGTCTATTCCATAATGCAATATATATGCCACACTCGGTTAAAGGTTTCAGCATCCTGGATTCTGTTTTGACGAAGTTATTGAAGATATAAACTGATCATGTAGATATTTTTAAATTTGACATGTGACTGTTCTGGTCGGTTTTTCTCCTAATTTATTCGATTTTGTTAGTTTTGAACTGCATTTAACAATAACAAAATATGTTTCTGTCAAAGCTGTACAAATGGTTTAGTTCGCAAGTCCGAAGAGAACGTTTAATACACAAAAATATCTTTTTCAAGCACATTTTGGTTGCAGACTTATACTTCAAGCATTTCTGGTTGCAAACTTATTCTTATTCTATTGAATTCCATAGTAAATCTTTGCAAAAGGAGTGTAGAAGGTTATATTTATAAGCCTATTTTCAATGGCAATTTGTGTACTGTTACTTGTTTTTGTCATAAATGTTATTTATACTTTCTTCTTTTACAACAATTATGCAATTTATGTTTCAAATTACATGGTTCTCAATTCAATACTATTATCATAAGTAAAAGCATATAGAAAAATATTTATTTATACTTCAATTCTAAAATATGTCATCATATGTAAAATGCAAATGAAAACTACATACAAAACAAACGTATGTGAGAGTACTGTTGTATGTAAGTGAATTATTTTCATCATAAACATAAGGACATGTGCACACATACGATGTTACTCGGTGAAATTTCCAAAGTTTATCAAACCACAAGAAATGATAATTTGTTTGTTTCGTATGTAAAGATCAGCAGTTGCTTTAGACATAAAGTATGTAAAGGTACTTAAAATATTTTTACAAACCAAAAGTTAAAATGACATGCTTGTTTACAATCTTTCGGATTTGATGTACATCATATGTCAATTGGTATTCTAAAGATGATTTTGATTATTAGATCATAATAAATAAATGTTAACCTATAGCTCTTCAGCGCTTCTTATGTAAAATTCTTCCAAGTATAATTTCCAATAACCGTAAATTATACCATAGCTATAGGTTAAAACAGATACACCATTGGTGCGTTGACGATTTCTGGGTTTGCGTAAATTATACCAACGCAAACCCAGAAATCTTCAACGCAGCAATGGTATATCTATTACATATACGATTGGTTATTTACATTGACTGATACGTGACAAAACTACTTGAAGTCATTGTTCGAGTTAGAGAATTTGGAAGATGTTTCGATTGGTCAATAATAAGGAACAATTTAAAGAAACATGTGAATAATGCCCTTGTGTCAATGTTAATATAGTTTTTATCTACTATACAATCAAATTTATTTCAAATCTCAAAAAAGAACAATAATGAAAGCTGTTTGTTGCTATTTTTTCTTCTTTTTCTTTACAGTAAGTCATGCCAAGATATAAAAAAAGTCTCAAGACTTTGTAAAAAGAAAAGGAGTATATCGAGGAGAAAAAATGATGTAGATAAACACAACTGGCTTCAATTTAGCATATTGTGTTTTATATCTATTTTAAAGACCCTGTGTTAGGATATATCTGCACGCATGCACAATTTGTATATATATATTTCTTATTAGATGAACGGGTATTTTAAAAAAATAATTAGTTATTCCGCGCGAAAAATATGCATGCCACATTATTGACAAAAAAGTTTGCCACCCAAAATGCTTGAAGTATAAGTCTGCAACCAAAATGTGCTTGAACAAGATATTTTTGTGTATTGAACGTTATCTTCGGACTTGCGAACTAAACCATTTGTACAGCTTTGACAGAAACATATTTTGTTATTGTTAAATGCAGTTCAAAACTTACAAATTCGAATAAATTAGGAGAAAAACCGACCAGAACAGTCACATGTCAAATTTAAAAGTATCTACATGATCAGTTTATATCTTCAATAACTTCGTCAAAACAGAATCTACGATGCTGAAACCTTTAACCGAGTGTGGCATATATATTGCATTATGGAATAGACATACTAATGAACTTCAAAATAACAAAGAAACCCACTTGCCTGGCAAAAATTCGTTCACCCGTTTCAAAAAATCACGCCGTGTTCGCCATTTTGTCAAGTTTGCAACTAATTCGCTCGCTTGAACCAAGTGTGCAACCACTTCACGTCCTGCCCCTTGATAAACCAATTCAAAACATATCTGTTAAAATTAGCCTCCTTATCATAAGGCAAAGGCATTTTTTAAAGTCTGCCCTTTAAGTAAAGGGCCAACATCTCTTTGTCCCTTTCTCGAAAGGGAAGGAGAATCCTATGATGCGTGTATGTGGTCGGACGGTCATTTTCCTTCAAACATGTTCTCGATGCATGTATGTGGTCGCATGGTCGAAAATCTCTGATATAATGACAACGCTAA